AATTAAAATTCTAAGAAGTAATCTAGGTAGGTGGAGAGTGAGAAAGATTGATTACTGAATCCTGTCTGTTTCATTGATTCTACACCCAACACAACACACGCAACAAAAATGACTCAATGCAAATACCAGAAATATGCATGGAAGACATTATTACCACCAGTCAGTGGGTCATTCAGTCAGTGAAATCAGAGGAGGATAATAAATAATCTCAAAATTGTATTCTATTTCAATTCAATTCAATTCACGTACATCACCACAACATTCTAACAAGTTACTCGCTTATTTTGACTATACAAAAAAGACGCGACTCATTTACCATCTGATTGTAATTGGATCACTTTGCGTCAGTGGCACAGTAGTTAAGACGCTCACCAACCATGCAAATGGCCCAGGGTTCGATTCCCTGCCGACGCACACCTGATATCTATGGTCAGCCAGCAAAATTTGGGCTACTGATATCATATGCAGAAAATTTCATACCTGTACCAAAAAATCATCAATTTAACTCATGTGTATATAAATGAAGGAAACAAGAGAGTTGTGTGAGTGATTGATTGAGTGACTTGATGTGATGATTATAAGTGGCTATGATAATTTGTGCTTGAAATGGCGTGTACTCGCATCAGTTAATATTACTGTGTGACACTTCAAAAATGTCTTATACATAATGGAGTTATACTCTACCACACCACAGTGCTTAACTTTTATACTTATATCAATTATTATACTCCACTAAGTGAAATAACCCGATGTACTACTCTATTGACAAGTAAATCATAATATGAAAGCGATTGTTTAAATGTTATTGACATTATGAAATATGTACAACTAGGCGTTGAAGTTTCTGTAGCGATTTGGTTGTTTTACAGGGGTGGAGTTGATAGCACCACGCCCCAACCCTCTTTACCCGGGCTTGGGACCGGCGAGAAAACTAGTAAGCTAGTAGCCTAGCAAGCTAGTATCTGCGCCTTCAATGAACTAATGATTGACGGCAGTGTATAAAAACAAAAGGATATCCACAAGGCTATATAGGTGTCACCAGACGAGAGAACCAAATACCAAATTGACTTCCTCTCAATGCTGCTAAAGGAAGTGGAGGCGCAGCTTACAGGACACAAAAGTAAGAAGAGGAGCAGACGTTGGCTCAGACCACTATCTAGTACAAGGGATAATCCAAATCAAATTAAAAGCTTTCAAAGAAACAAAAGCTGCAGATAGATGACAAGTCAAGTTCAATACTCAAAACCTGAAGGACCAGGATACAAAGGACATCTTCACTGCAAACATAAGAAAAAAGGTGGAGACACAAATCAAAACTAGGGAAGAGGTCTGCGTCAAAAAACACTGGGACAACCTCAAAGCGGTAGATGGAAGTTCTGGGCAGAAAGAAGAGGCAGGACAATCAGACATAAGTGAAAAGTCATGAAACGGTAGAAAACGCAGGAACCTATTTGTATATTCCCGGGCAGAATTTATTATTTTATTATTGTTATTGTTCCCTTGGAACATATGGCTTCTGCTGGACCTGTCCACTTGCTTCTGTCTTCTCCCGTACTTTTCACCTGCATCCATGTTAGTCCATACTCTTTCAAATCCTCTTCACACGATCTCTTCCTCCGTGTCACCGTCGCACTGACGTCCCACTCGCCACTTCCCATTCGGGTTCCACTCGAGCAATGGTCTGACGCGCGCGCGATGTCACCCAGCGGCCTCCTCAGCGAGTGTCCAGTTTATTCCAATCCACTTTCTCCTGGATATTTGTACTTGTTAGGCGATTGGTTCTTGTTTTGTTTGTTCCCAAATTTTCTTGTTTTTGGTGGTTCTTTCCGGCCCGGCAATCCGGTCTTCAGTATAGAGCGAAGACAATCAGTTGTTGATAAAGGTAACATCTGCAACAGGCTGTTGGTGGAAATATTCTTTGTGACCCACCCACCAAGTTTCTGATCCGTAGAGAAGAACTGACTGACTTGACGTGTTTGTATTGAATATCCGACCAACGGAATTTTGTTGTTGATGCTGGCTGGCTGAGTGACGAAGATTTCCAGATTGGTTGTTTCAGCTTGATGAGTGAATGTGTTTCTCGCCTTCCCCACGATTCTCGCTCGATTTTACATCCACGTTCGTTTCGACTTCCTGTATTTGAGACAATGCTCGATGCCGGATAAGTGAATGAATGAAGTGTAACCTCTTTCAAATCCCTCCCGTTGATGATGATTGGCGCTGGATGTTGGTGCTGTTGTTGTTGTTTGGTTGGTTGGTTATTTTCATAACCTCCGTCTTGTCTGTGTTCACCTAGAGGCCTGTCTTCGCCGTCTGCTTCTTCGACCAGTTTGTCGGTCAGTTTTCGCCTGTAAGTCTTCGATTTTGTGTGACAGTGACATCAAACATAAATCATCGCCGTGCGAAATCCAGGTCTTCTAGATTCTTCGCGTCGGTCGGTCCAGGATATCCCTCCCTGTCCTCTCGTTTCCCACTCACTGTCTGATGCATAATCCAGTCAGTCGACCACAATTAGGAATATCATTGGTGATAATAAGCACCCTTGTCTGACTTCTGTGTTTACTCCAAACGTTTTGCTGAGTTTTCCGTTGTGTATCACTTGACATGTGGCGTTGTCGTACAGTTGTTGAATAAGATTGATGAATATTTGGGCGCTGTACGCCGTATTACTCGAGTAGTTTCCAAATTACTTCATGGTCAACGCTGCACTGTCGATAGCCTTCTCAAAGTCTATGAAGTTGAGGTAGGTAGGTTTGATTGCAATTCCATGTTTACATGCGCAGAATTGAGCAGAAACTAATGAGAGAGAGAGAAATGAATTCCGAAAACTATCACTGTACATAAATTCAAGTAGAAATTGTTATTCAATCCACTAATAGCGCATGTGTGTGTGTGTTTACTGGTCTTGGAGTAAGCGACCGACTACTTTTCTATTATCAAACCTTGATACTTTCTTCAAGTGATGATAAGGAATTTTTTGTTGAGTAGGGGGTGTCTTGTTTATACACCTAAATGAATTTTTCGCTTGAATGTAATGCCCACTGATAAAAAAATGTTTACCCCAATTATAATTTAATTTCCCTGAGAAATTTCTAAAACTCACGTGGTTTGAAAAATAAAAACAAAAAACGACAACAACAAAACTTTATTATAAACAATTAGTGTTCCCTTTATGAAATTAGATAAAGGCAATGAATAAGAAGACGTAGTTTGTCTGTCTGAATCGTCGTGTATTGTGGAATGTGCAGATTTGCGTGGAACACACATTTCGAACAATCTGATCCATCATACACACGCACAAACACACAGGGACTTGTCATAGGAATATAAGGAATATGGGGAAATAATAATAAAGAGAGTCAAGAGGTGGGTGGGTGAGTAAATAAACTACTTGACTTGACTTGATTTCTCAGGTCAAGTTAAAAATGGAGGATATTTTGAAGGTGTGAAAATAACAATGAAGATGAATGGTGACTAAACCAAATAACAGAGTTCACATAGTACATCTACCCTGACTGGCTGGTGGCGATCAAAACAACACAAAGTTTACCACCACCACCACCACCAACAAGTAAGGAAGGAAGGAACGTAGGCTTAGTTAGTTAGTGTGATGACGAATTGGTGCTTTGAAGGCATAAAGGTGGTTTGAAAACATCCTAACTACCAGCTAGGGCTAGCTTCCACAATCTTTAGGATACGCTCTTCCCTAAAAACGTCTTATAGATAGGGTTAAAAGATGTGTTAGTTAACGTCAGTTTTATTTCCTATCTTCTCTACAATATGTTTCGCAGTAGAGGAGCTAGCTGGGTCTTCGTCTGTTCTCAACATTAATGTGTCCTCAAGATTCCATTTGTTTGTGGGGCCATTCAGGAATATGCTCTGAAGCCAGCCAGAACTTACACTTGCAGAGATTGATGAGTACTCCCTATGCATGTTTGTGTGTGTGTGTGTGGCCACACCTACATTCAAATTGGTGAATACTGTGAGAGGATTTGACATCATCTTTCGCATGTTCGACGGATCTTAGATGGATGGATATATTGACTTCACATTCTCAATTACTATTATGATATTAGCTACATTAAAAGTCTTTTAAACCACACCGGCGTTCAATCTTTGTCTAGTCATCAAGTTGCAATGATCCCCCATCCATATAGGGCAGGTGGCTTGAATGTACACGTCTTTCTTAGGGGCGAGTTGAAGAGTAAAGGCTGGTTGGCTTCACAGAATCTTCACAAATGGGTCCAGAAACAAATAGAATCTTCAGAACCCATTAATGATGAGAACAGACGAAGACCCAGCTAGCTCCTCTATTGCAAAATATATTACAGAGAAGACAAGACATAAAATTGACGTTAACTAACACACCTTTTAAACTTATCTACCTATATAAGCGTGTTTGGGGAAGGGCGTGTCCTAAAGTTTGTGGAAGCCAGGCCTAGCTGACCTGAAGTTTCTGAAGTTTAAACAACATTTATGCCTTCAAAGCACCAATTCGTCATCACACTAACTAACTAAGCCTACGTTCCTTCCTTCCTTACTTGTTGGTGGTGGTGGTGGTGGTAAACTTTGTTTGTTTTGATCGCCACCAGCCAGTCAGGGTAGATGTACTATGTGAACTCTGTTATTTGGTTTAGTCACCATTCATCTTCATTGTTATTTTCACACCTTCAAAATATCCTCCATTTTTAACTTGACCTGAGAAATCAAGTCAAGTCAAGTAGTTTATTTACTCACCCACCCACCTCTTGACTCTCTTTATTATTATTTCCCCATATTCCCTATATTCCTATGACAAGTCCATGTGTGTGTGATGGATCAGATTGTTCGAAAACTTTAGTCGCCCTGGAAATTGCACTTAGTAAGCGTATTTATTTTTTTGATTAAAGTTTTCGTTTTTCGTTTTAAATGAAATGAAGGAAGCATCACGTTTATCAGTAATTCTCATTTTTATTTTTCATTTATTTTCTAAATTTTGTCATCCGGTCTCATCTTTGTAGACTCCTGCTGGAAGAATTGGTTTTGTCAATGCTCTAGAACAAGAGGTGAGTTTATAAGGTTTACTTAAAATCAAAAGTTTTGTAAAAATCATTATTGAAATAAAAGATTTGTAGCTCAGGTGGATGATTTGCAATGAATAGTGTTCTCTGAGCTGGTTGGGTTAGTTGCGGAGCTTTCGTCGTCCCTTTTCCTGGACGACATCTTCAGCACAGTATTTAGCATAAAGTTAAATGATTTAAAAATATCTCCATGAATGATGGATGATACAATTGCGTCTCCTGGTGGTGACCAACCATCTTCACATATGTGTGCATTGACCGTTTTCTATTGTGATTGGGATTTTAAACTTTCTGGTCACCTGATTTTTGCTTTTTATTAGTTGATATATTTCATCTGTATTAACGTGTTTATTAAATGGCATTTTCGTTTGAGTACCAGGCTTCTAGGAATTCCCTGACTGCACATTTGGTGTTGTGTTTCCTCTCTTTAAGATTTTGATATTATCCCAATCAAATTGATGTCCATAATTATCTGTATGCATTGATACTAAAGAATTTATATCATGTCTTTTCATTTTCAAACGATGAAGGTGTCATCGTGTCAAATCCCTCAAAACTAAACAAGATATTTCAGTGATGATTGCAACTAGTGTAGAAAACGTAGTCTTGAAGAAACCTTCTCAGTGATGACTATGTGTCATCTGAGATTAGGTGTGTACGTGCTCACAATTATACTCTCTCTCGTCTCACTCACATGCAGTGATGCTTTTTCAGAAAAGGACATTTCCTTGAATCTGTGCTTATAATAATACTGTGGTGAGAGCTGACCGCCAGCTAGCTAGCCAGCCAGTCGAAAATCGCTAAACAGTAATTTACGTCAATGTTTATGTCCAAAATATTGGTTATATGAAAACCAGAACAAGAACAAAGACTGGCTGACTGATTGGCTGACTGACTGACTGACTGAAGAACCAATCAAAGCACACTTTGTTTTTGTAGGTGGATACAATTAGCAGATAGATAGATAGATAGATGGATGATGTGACCTTCAAGAAACAGCCACAAAGAGATGAAAGATTAACGCTCAGCGAGAAACCACCAGTCGAAGTCTGTGTTTGTTTGCTAACATCAATCGATAATAGTATTGTACGTGGAAATCGATAAATATTTGTTGATTTCTTTAGTGAACGATCTGTTTGCCTGGCTGGCCCTTGCCTTCTGTTGCCACATTTAGTGTCGCTGCCTACCGAAAAATTGAAAGCCTATGCTCTGCAGTTTTTGATGGAGACAGATGGATCTTCCGCCAGGATCTCTAGGCTTCTGGGCAGTTGAGTGGCGTTCAAGATCTGTCATTGATGAGGCTGTTACTTGGGACGCTGCTGGGAAGGAGGCCAGGAGAAAGCTGTGTATGAAAGTGTGAGGCGAAATATCGACAAATGTTCGACAGGGTCAGTCAGCAAAACACCTCCCAAAGTAGGAAGGACCACATATGGTCACTTTGAGATGATGGGGTTACGCAGAAAAAATCGCAATGGTAAAGAAAGAGAGAGAAACAGGTGAACAGGTGAAGTGATTCCCGAGATTCCAGACAGTAAGACAAACGAACAAGCCCTCTAGAACCAAGAAGACCAAACCAGAATCAGTCGAAAGTCTTTGACGGGGGCATTGAGTGTGGTGAGAGCTGGCTAGCCAGCCAAAAATTGATAGACAGTAATTTACATCAATGTTTATGTCCCAAATATTAGTCATGAGCGAAATGAGAACAGGAACAAAGACTGGCTGACTGACTGACTCAACAACCAATCACAGAACACTTTGTTTGCGTAGGTGGTTTTAATTACGAGATATATAGATAGATAGATGGTCTGACCTTCAGCAAACAGCCACAAAAATAGAAACAACCAATCAGAAGACTGTATCTGTCTTCTAACGATAATGTATAATAACAATGTACATGAAAATCGATAAATATGTGTTGATTTCTTCAGTGAACGATCTGTTTGCCAGGCTGGCCCTTGTCTTCTATTGTTACAATACTACTTCAAATTAGCGTGTTTTGTTTTCTGTTTTTTGTTTTTGAAAAATTCATGAATCCTTCCTTCCTTGTTGAAATCTACTCAAGGACTCAAGTTTTGTTTTAATTGATTGAAATGCTGATTTGCATATTCTCTGTTTTATTAAGATGAAAGCCTAAATAGAGATAAAATGGGAGAGGGTTTTGCCAGTTTTTATGCCTCTGTCTCCCTCTCTCTGTCCATTTCGGAATATTTCAATTTAATTATTTTCTTTATTATTGTTATTCTCGCGAACTATTATTATTATTAGTTTTTGTTATTGTTGTTGTTCCCTCTTTCTCTTGTTTCTGCCTTTCTTCTTTTTATTTATTTATTTATTCTAAGGCGACACATCTCATGTTTTAATTGAAAGTGAAGGAGAACAACGACCTTCTGGTTCACGGAGTTATAACCTCATTTCATGTTCCCCTTTCTTTGTGTTCATGTATAAGGCACAAACAGCGAAGAATGCTTTCCTTTTGACGATTCATGTTCATGAGCTGTTGTACAATCGTAATTATAATTATAAAGAACACAAGATATATTCAGAGAAGAGACTCTTTTCAACAACGAATTTATTATCAAGCTGTACAGCCGTATATATGTGTATATATATGGCTTTTTGATAAGGAATTATATCCAGTGAGGGAGGGAATTAGGGCAAAGGTATGAATACATGAAATAATAATAATGATAACAGTAGTAGTATAAGTAGTAGCATGAAATGCAATTCAAATATTTGTGATTATTATTATTATAATTATTTAACTGAGTAATTGTCATGAAATTTATTTTGTATTATTGATAACCACGTAATTTGTTTAAAGCGGTTGTAAAGGAACTACGAAGTGACGATATCATCTCGCGGCGAAATTTGTCTTGTAGATGCCTAATTCAGATTATAATCATAGTTTAATATCAAAGGCAAATCCTCCTCTGATGTGCTCACTGAAGCTGGTGTCCCCCAAGGTATTGTACTCTCCCCACTTCTCTTTTCTTTCTTTCTACATGACTTACCATCTTCAAATGACATTAATTTTGTCAAATATGCTGACGACCAGACAGTATGTATTTTTGGCTGTCAAATGTCAAAGTGACTGCTCTAAACTGAATTGCTTTTCATCTGAATGAATCGTGAACTTGTGGAGAAATCTAAATGCTGACTTCAAGTGAAATTGAAGTGAAGTACGCGCTGAAGGAGGATGTTGCTTGCCTAGTAGGGCAATAATGAGAGCTTCGCAACTTAACTAATTATCCAGTTAGCTCAGAGAAGACAACCACATCAGAATATTTCTTCTCTTTCTTTTTTCAAATGTTAAAGTGTTAACTGGGGTATTTTTAATTATTCACTCTCATATTCTGTCTCTGTTTAAAACTGGTGATTTTTTCTTGTCTACTGTTTACGCTCTTTTTTGCCGGTATGGATCAGTACAATCTTTTTTTCGCCCGATTGTAATTAATGTGTTTTTTTAGTCTCGTCGTACACAAGGTTTGGTAGACCTGCAAGCCTTACCGAAATTACTCGATCAAATTGGACTGTTGTTAGTCGAATGTCAAAATGCTGAGGATTTTTCACCAGCTAAAAAGCTTCTCACGATATCACTGCAATTCTACACTTATGGTAAGTCAATCTGTTCTCTCTCTATTAGCTTCTTATTTTATTTTTGCCCAGTGTCTTTCTGTCTGTCTGTCTGTTTGTAACGCATAACTTTGCACCGATGTGCACCCCAGTTCAAGTCACCACACCTTCCATTCCATGTGGCACGCAAAGCAGGAGAAGAAAGTAGAAGAAAAGCATAATGGAGACAGTAAGCAGAGGTGTAAGATAAAGGAGGAGTAATAACGAAGAACAAAACAGTTTCATTGGAAATCATAAGTCACAAGGAGTGGATGCATCTGTACCAGCCAGCCGTTGAGAACGGTCCCTTTAAGCCATATTACCAATTGTTTCCAATCATTGGTTTTTACCGTCCCAAGGATCCCAACCAGTCATCCAGCCAGTCTACACCTTCCCAAGTGGCTGGCTGGCTGGTTGGCTTAAACTAACTGTTGTGAATTTCTTCATTGACTGATGATGAAGACATGTTTTGGTTTGACCACAGCTAGATCTTTTCCAGCCTGACCAATCCTATGTCAGATAACATTGCTCATTGTCAAGAAAGGCGATGACTAGGCAGGAGTACGTAACACACGTCCTAACCATCTCAGGCGGTGTAATTTCACATCCTCGTCGATTGATTCCACTTCCTCCTTATCTAGCACTCGACGCCTAACCTCAATATTGCTCACCTTATTATACCATCACCTGACACGGGAGATAGAACGCAGGCACCTATGATCGAAGACAGCTAGCCAGGATTTTCCTGTCTTCCACTCTAAACGTCCAGGTCTCACAGCTAGCCATAAAGGAGGACGGAACGGACTGCTGAGCAGTACACCGCCTTTTGTTCGACAGCCAGCCGGATATCACGTCTACGCGAGAAACGGCGTCAACTGGCATATGTGAAACTAGCCCTCTGTATCCGTGTTAAGATTTCGTCAGTGATCAACCCATTGGCACTGGCTGATGGTACTTCCAAAATAAGTGAAGCGGTCAACGTGCTCCACCAACCAGTTCACTCCCCATTTTTCTAAACTAGGAGTCAGTGTAGTCCAGTCCTCTAACATCCAGGTATATTGGGCGGGAGCGAATCGCATGGCAAACATTCGTAGATTGCAGCTCAAGGTGTTCAGAAGACTCTGCCGAATTTTGTCAGCGTCCTCGTCTAGATGGACTATATCGTCTGCATATTCTAAGTCACCGAGATTATTCCTCGGTAGCAAGTCAATCCCTGAGTCTCTGAAGAGAGTTCGGGTTAAATCCGTTAGTATGGTATCTTTGATGAAATCGAATAGAATTGGGGGATAATGGGCATCCCTGAAGGACACTACTAGTCGTCACCACTTCAGATGACAATTTGCTTACTGTGCGGGACAACAGTCCACACTGATATGCCCTCAATTCCAATAATAATAATAATGAAATGAATAAGCTCAGATGTTTAGTGTAATCAACCTTAAATGGATGAAACATGAGAGTATGTAAAAGTAATAATTATTATCCTGGAGATACCGTTATTTCATGGAAAATCCCCAATGCACCATAATAGTAATAATAGCTTTATTCCAAAAACAGTACTAATGATACAGCAAGGAATTTTCAGCATTCAGTACAATATTAATGCATCTAATTTACTCAAAAACGACAAAAAAAATTATAAATACACATTACATAACAGTAATAAAACGATTGTTATAGCAGCTACATAGCAAAATACTGTATGCAATACGGTGAAAAATATGCATAAAGTATGAAATTGTAGAAATAATAGTAATACCAACTAAAATAAAATAGTAGAGTAACAATTAAAGGACAGAAAGTGTGACACCATAAAATACAGAAAGATGAACGATGAAAGGGTCGATTTACTGTGCTAATTACATAGTAACTTATGTGTTTCACGTCTGACAGAGTCTTCGTCACATAAAGTACAGGCTAAATAGGGTATTGTAGAATTTCTGTACTTAGTGGTACGAGCATATAACTTCTAACTTATATTGACTTCTCGTCCTACCTGATGAGATACAAGGGGACAGGTGTGAATAAAGAGGGTGCAGAGGGTCTGACAGTATAGCCTTTGCCCATTTTGTACAGGAATTTATATGCCTCTCGACTATAGTATTGGTGAGCTCATTCAGTGGCAGACCACAAGCCCTACTCACAGCATTCAATAAATACCCCTGGTAATATGATATAGTCTTTTTTGAGAAGCCCAGGAAAGATTAATGGAGAGCAATAGAGTAGGTACAATAGGTAAAATACAGGAGTTTAAAAATTGCAAAACTAAAGGTTGGTTGATACCTGATTGTATTAACTTTTTAATGTAGAAGGTAAGACGAAACATTTTCTTAGAGATAGATAAGGTGATGTGGGATGACCATGAAAGATCAGAGGAAAGAACTATAGAAAGAACCACATAGAAAATTAACACAAGTGATTCAGAGAAGAGACTCTTTCCAACAACGAATTTATTGTCATGCTGTACAACCGTGTATGTATGGTTTCTAAGATGTTATATCCGGTTAAGGAATTGAATCATGGGTGTGAATGCATAAAATAATAATAATAGTAGTGTGAAATGCAATTAAAACTAAAATGTGTTTGTAATTATAATCATAGTTAAATGTCAATTGGCAAAACAAATTATTGTCATATTTTTGATTGAACACTAGTCAGTAACTGGTGTAATGTGTCTAGTTCTATCTTCTGTGCAGACTGAATTCTATCAGTCAAGCTTGCAATTCAGTCTGCACGGAAACATGTCGTCACACTAGTTACTGACGAGTGTCCAATCAAAATATCCACACTACAGTCCTACAGAAGGTCAATCGTGAACCACTCCGAATAGCTGGCTCAATGGTAACATCTCTGACTGCAGCCTTCACTGGGTGACGGCGTGGGTTTGAATCTCAGAATGGACAAGAGTTCCTTCAAGGTTGTAGATACGTCTTGCTGACTAGCAGTGAGTGCCAACTAGCAGCAGGAAATCCAGATTCAGACAAGCCTTCCTCCTGTGGCCGATTGCCTCGAACAATAAAAAACCAATTAATGTCATATATATATATATATATATATATATTTTGATGTGGTTTTGTTCTCTGAGCTGGATAGTTAGTTTGCGAAGCTTTCATCACCTTACTGGGTGACATCTTCAGCGCATACTTCAAATTGAAGTGAGCTTTTAGGTTTCTCCACGAGTTTATTAATCATTCCTCCTGGTGACCTTGGACGTGATTGGTTGTTTATGTATGTTTTCACACCTTCTAGGTTACTTGTGTTGGAACTGATTGTTTCTGTGACTTGAACTTTGGCCAATCGTGTGTGAAGTTTCTTTCTTATTGGTTGATAAATTTTGTCTATCTCGATGTGTCTATTGATTGATGATTCACTGGAATGCCAAGCTTCTAAAAATTCTCTAGCATTCTTGTTATTTCCTTTGTCTAATATTTGAACGTTGTCCCAGTCGAATTGATGTCCGTGGTTGTCTGTGTGTAGTGAAATGAGGGAGTGTATATCATGTCTTTTGACGGCTAGCTTATGTTCGTGGATACGAAGACGAAGGGGACGTCCACTTTGGCCAATGTAGTGTTTTTCACAGTTGTTACAGTTTATTTTGTAGATGATGTTGGTTTTGTCTTCTTTTGCTGTTGAGTCTTTTGGTTGACATAGAATTGAGTGCAGCGACTTTGTTGGTTTGTGTACGACGTCAATTCCTAAAGGTTTGAAGAGTCTTTTAGTGATTTCTGAGATATCCTTTATATATGGTAAGGCGATTTTCTTTGTGTTTTCCTTGGTGGCTTTTGTTTTGGTAGGTTGGCTTGGGGGTATATGTCTCTTGATGAAATTCCGGGGATATCCATTCTTTTGGAAGACGTCCATGAGATACTTTTCTTCAATTTTTCTTAAGGTGGGAGTGCTGCAGTGAGTCCTTGCTCTCTTGAATAGTGTTTGTATGCAGTTCCTTTTGTGTGCTATTGGGTTGTTGCTGTTGTAATTCAGTATTTGGTCTGTGTGAGTTGATTTCCTATAAACTTGAGTTTCTAATTCTCCTGTAGTTGTTCGCCTGACTAAGACGTCCAAAAATGGTATTTTGTTCTCGGATTCCTCTTCTCTTGTGAATTTGATGTCGTTGAAGACGTTGTTTATTAAGTTGTGAGTTTTGTCTAATTCGTTTCTTTTGATTATTACAAATGTGTCGTCGACGTAGCGTATCCAAATCTTGGGTTTGATCTTTGGTAGAATTATGTTTTCGAGTCTTTGCATCACTGCTTCTGCAATCAAACCTGATATTGGCGATCCCATGGGTGTTCCTTTGACTTGTTCATATATTTGGCCGTTGAATTGGAAGTATGTTGTTAGGCATAGATTTATGCATTCCATCCAGCTTGTGTGTTGCATTTTTGATTGTTGTGGAAGTTGTTCGTCGTTGCTAAGTAATTGCTCCATGGTTTCTTTTGCTAGTTTTTGTCCGATAGAGGTATATAATGCTGTCACGTCGAAGGATACCATTATTTCTTGTTCATCTATTTGGATGTCTCTGATTTTCTCTAGGAATTGGATAGCAGAGTTGATGGAGTGATCACAGGATTCCGTTAGGTGTTTTAGTTTTCTGTATAATTCCTTGGACAAATTATATGTTGGAGTTCCTGGGAGTGATACAATTGGTCGTAACGGGATATTTGCCTTGTGTATTTTGGGTCTGCCGTAGAATCGAGGTAGGACTGGTCCATTGGATTTCATTCGCCATTGGTCTTGTTTTGTGATCTGTCCAGTTTTGCTGAGCTTGTTTAAGGTCCTTTGGATGCGGTTGTCCAATGTTTGTATGGGATTTGTTGGGAGTTGTTGATATACATCTTCATCTTTGAGTAGTTCTTCAGCTTTCTTGGTGTATTCTTCTCTGTCCATGACTACTGTTGTTCTTCCTTTGTCGGCTGGTAAAATGACAAAGTCGCTGCACTCAATTCTATGTCAACCAAAAGACTCAACAGCAAAAGAAGACAAAACCAACATCATCTACAAAA